TGACACTTGTTCCTGCACCAGAACTGTCTCCAGGGAGCTGAGACCAGCAGCAGGAGAACATGACGCAGACGGCCGCAGTTTCACTTCCCTGGCAAGGCAGCTGGTATCGTCCGGGGGCATCTGCAGTTTGACCGAAAGCACCACGAGCTTTGACCACCCCACCCGACGCACAGATACCCAAACCTCAGCCCACGCCAGTCTCGCGCATGGATCGCCAACGGACGCACCTTTGCACACAATCCGATGCGGTGCTTCATGCCGCAGAATCACCCTCCCAGTGGCCTCCTGATGCACAGCGGCTTGATCCGTTTCAGGGTTTGACAGCCGACCAATTGACTTAACCCTGAGCAGGCTGCTGTGCAGTAGCTCAAACACAACACAACCCCCCTCTCACCTTAAAATGTAGACTGCTTTGTATGCAATTACTTTTTATATATAGGGATTTATATATTCAATATTTTTGGTTTGATTTTATGTAATACTTCAGCATGAGTGTTTCAAAAGCTGGGCCTTTCAAATCTGTTACTTTCACTTCTACGTCAGAGCAGGTTCACGTGAACAGACAGGCAGCGTGGAAAAGGAGAATTCAGATATTTCTGTGGCAAGAGAGAGACCACAACAAGCAGAAAACTGCAACACAGCTAAACTGCTCACGCAAAGGGAGTCTAATCTAAATCCAGATCCTGCTGACTCCAGTGTGTGCACCCACGCTGAGCTTTGGCCCACAGGCCTCACTGTCATTCTCACTGACTCTTTGATCCGCTGGGCAGGTGGAACATCTCCTTCGAGAAGCTGCGGACATTTTCCCAGTGTGCATCAGCAGACACGGTTTTCCGGAACTTTGAATCACAGACTCCGTGGAAGTGCTGTCCACTGGGGTTTCAGGACACATCAATAGCGTCTCCAGGGCTTGTAAATATGCATCCATCCCCTTTAACTTAAGAGCGTTTTTCCAAACCTAACGTGTCTCAGACATCTCCCAGGCCGTGTGGAGCCACGGGGTTGTCCTCATACACACGCAAACAGACTCAAAACAGAACTTGTCTCATAGAGACAGTTCCTCCTTGGCATGGTCACACACAAGCCCTCACAGGACTGTAAACCGCAGATGTGCGTCAGTGAAGCCTGTAGGCAAATGATTTGGGTTCTTGTACTCTGTAGTTTGCACGGGACAAGTGCTGTGTGCCTGGGAGGTTCAGCGAAGTTACAGGAGGACAAATCTCCAGCCGGCACTTGCTGTCTACATTTAGCATCTGGTTGTTGTGCGCCGGATCGCTGTCCCCCACGTGTACTGTTTGTGCTTCTGTGCCAAAGTGGATGATAAAGAAAAAAAATAGCAATCCCAGAAATGTGTTATTGGTCCCTCACCACTGAAACAAGGGGAGTGGAACAAACAGGTCATCTCCAGGTTGGCTTTATCCCTAATATATATGCTCTGTATTTTGTATTTTACATGGAAAATTAAAAAAAATGTCACAGCATCCAGTCATCTGATTTGTGCCGCTTAAGTAAAAGAGAAGCAAGAAAGAACAGAAGGCTCTTCTTTACAAAGAGGGTTGTAGGAGTCTGTAACACGCTATACAGCCATGATGTTGAAACCCAGACCCTGGCTTCTTTCAATATTAACCAGTATACAACTAACCACCAAAAGGGCTAGATGGGCCAAATCGCCTCCTCTTTGTAAACGTTCTCATCTTTTTTGTATATGTTTGATATAGTTGGGTATTTTGTTGATCTATATCACTGCAGAGCTTCATTAAAGAGTGAACGCTCCAGGATATTATGACTAGGCTGTTTCAGTACACTAATACCATGAGTCCTAGTTGCACAAGCAAAAAAACTCTCTCACACTTGTGTACTACTGTAGGAATTACAGTGATGTTTACTTTTACTATTACTTTTGGAATTACCCCTGGCCAAACGCTGGCGTTTCATTTGCCACCGAGGTGGTGAAAGGGATTCGGGGAGCGGCGTGTGACTGGCGAGTCACCCACGCACTGCCAGCGTGGGACGCGAGCTGACGCACGGACAGAAATAGGCTGCGCTCTGTTTCTTTCTTTTCGTTTTCCGCGTGACGAGGTCTTGAGCCGCAGACACAGGCGACGTTTTCCGAAGAGCAGACGAATGGGCGCTGGATATCTGACCGGCGTCTGTCTGTCAGCATAGCTGGTATAAAAGACATTGATGCAGGGTGATGTCAGGAGAGTCACTGCTCCTTTGTCTTTCCTCAGACTCTACAAGAGACAGATTCTTTGACTCTCTTCAAATCCATCACCTTTTTACTCGGGCCTGTGCCAGATTGCCCTACATTCTCTTTTTATACACCTGTATGTTCTCGTTTTTCACCTTTTATTGTACTTTCTTTGGTCTTTTTCTTTGTACTGTGTACTGTGGACAGCACCCTTGGATTTGGAAAGGCGCTTTTAAAAATAAAATAACTGCTGATGATGCCCTGCCTGATGCTTAGCGTGTATGAACAGTGAATATGCTCCCCCCCCATTTGTCCTATAAAAGCCGAGGCTGCCACCACATTTGAGCAACTTCTGCATTAACGTCACCAGTACCTTACAAAAGGGGAGGCCGTTGTCTCTCCAGCAATGCACAGATGTCCCCCGCCCATCAAGTATCTGTGTGCATTATGTTCCCAGCTCTGAGGACTGCACTGCGCACATACCGTAGGGCAGTGCCTCTCCAGGACCAGGTGTGGACAGCGGTGGTTCTGATAGGTCCCTCTGACGTGCACGGGCATTGTGGGAAAGAAAGTGGATTTCCTTCTGCTCTCTCGCAGCTATTGTAAGAGAGCCAAGGCAGTGTCCAGACAATGCCTTTTTGTAGAGCCGTGGACAGTGGGAGCCTGCTCGGCTCCGCCCACCATTGTTCCAGGGCCCTGCTGGAGTTGTTTTGTCTCTAAAATCCGAGATGTGGTGCCCCTGCATTCTAGCAGGCTGTCCCACAGTAAACAAGGCCAAGCTATAAATAAACAACGCTTAAAATGACACAATGGTTAGCAAACACATTAGGAAGTAAATCTCCCACTCTTCTAATTGCTGGTACCAATCACCGGCTTCTGTATTCTTCCATTTTGTTATATTCCGGCTCTGCACTGTTAAAAGTTTAGCTTACTTGCTCCTTGTTCCCTCCCTCTACTTTATACAGTAGGTTTTGCTTTTTGCTCTGAGTGGAGCCTGCAAGTCATTGGGGGAGTTAACCTGACTAGACCAGACAGGTCAATGGATGCATTACCAGAACGCAAAGAGTTGTGGGAGCCTGGAACAAGCTACCCGGCCATGTTGTTGAAACCTTGGCTTCTTTCAAGCAACTGAAATCAAATGGATGAGACCAGGTCTCACACACGTGCACATGGATGACCAAGCAGGGACAATTGAAAGACACCAGTTGATGTATCTACCCCATCTTGGAAAGGTGGGAGCAAACTCAAGCACCCAGATTAAACACCCACAGAACCTGCAAGGAACTGAACACAGATCCCATGAGCTGTGAGGCAGCAGCACACTACAGAAAAACTACAGATTTATGAAGTCATTAAGCTTCAGCTGCTGGCTAGTTACATTAACCTCTAGTAACGACAGACTGCTAAAGGCATTTCCACTTGGAAAAGCCTTGCTTCTCTGGAATTCAACAATACAGCTAGCTATTTCCAGCAAAAATAAAATAACTCTTAAGTATTAGTGCTACAAGTCAGCCCCAGCAACATCAGCAAGCCACAGGCAAAATGTAAAGGATTCTAAAGTAATCCTTTTCACATTGAATTAAGCACCTTCCAGTCAGTACACAATACAGAACAATTAAATTTGGCTCAAAACAGGATTGTGAATGCTGTCAGTTATCCACACCTTCAGCATTCTATCACTTCTGTAATTCGTTGGTGCATCTTTGAATATGCAGAAATAAAAGAAATTAAAATAGATATGCAACATTTTACATATGCATCACTGCTGGAAATGTAACATTCGTTTGTATGTAATTCAGTTTTGTTAAAATTTAAATTTCTTCTAGCCCGATGTTGGAGCTAGTCTGGTAAAGAATCTGTAAGAATGCCTCAGTGCCTCAGAGCACATTTTATTTGGAACAATCTCAATTCTAAAGGAATGAAGGCACCATTGTGGCCCTGTGTTTTCCCATCAGGATGAAAGCACGTGTGCCCCAGCCCTCTACTGTTCCTGTGTCCCAGGGGTGTGTGTTTAGAAGTGTTGAATTGGAGTTTTCCAGTACAATACAATGGAATATGGGACGCCTGCTGGAATGTTTTTGAATTCTACTTCACACATTCCTGACATTTGCCCCCAGGGGTGGAGAAGAACCAGTGACCTCATAGAAGCAGGACAGGAACTCTAACCTTCCATCCTGTGAAAGCTCACTGGGAACCAGAGCAAGGAATTGGAAGAATTTAAATACTGGTGAACTGAGAACCTTTCATTCCCAAGAACACATTCTCCACCTATCCAAATGTTCTCATAGAAAACTACTCTGGACGTTTAGGGTAAAGCCTATTGTGGGTCATACTGAAACGAATTAACAGAGAATAAATGATTGGTGTTTTTAGAGAATAGACGATACTGACCGATTATGCACTGACATTTGTTAGGATCAAGGTTTTGAAGTGAAATGTCTTTTTAGGTCACTCTACATATATTAGAATAAACAGTGGAGTTGCAGAGCACATCATTTTAGGAATTCTTTACACTAAAAAAGGAAGAAAAAGCAATCAGATTTCCCGTTCTCCATGCACACCAGACACAGACACTCACGGCACACCATGATGTATCCAAATGCCACGCATTTATTTATGTATTTTACTGGGGAACAATGGAGCCCATTCAGTTGCTTCGGGAGAAAAACAAAAAGAAAAAAAAAATGATCCAGAGGGGCCTAAACAAGAATATCTTTGATGATTTGTGAGCATTCCTTTTTTTTTTTAAAGAGGAACCAACCAAAATTGTTTGTTTTTTGTTAAAATCAGGAATATTTACAAATTGAAAAAAATTAATAAACCAGGAATAACAAAAATAAATAAATAACTTAGAAAAGAATACAAATAAAATATATACATTGAAAAGCCGCTGGGGGGTTATAACTTGCTCTCCTCTTCCTCCAGCGAGCGGTTCAGTCCCGGGATGAACTTGAGGAGCCTTCTTCGGAAGCTCTTCTGCTTGGGCTTGCGTGGTAAGGACCCGCAGCTGCCCTGCCCGCTGCCCGATCTGTCCCAGCTGCCGCCTGCACCTCTCTGGTAGCTGCGGGTGCTGGCGCTGCGGGTGAGCTGCGTCTTGGCCGGGGGGAGGAAGTCGCCGCCGCCGAGCCTGACGCTCTGGGCCCCGTTCTGTCCCACCTGCCCCGAGCTGCCGGCGTCGCCCACGTCCAGGCAGGTCTGGTAGAGGGGGTCCTCGATGCCCTCGGTGGCGGCGCTCAGGTAGCTGGCGCTGCTGCAGGTGCTGCCCGTGGAGTAGATCTGCCGGTGGGAGGCCGGGCTGGGGGCCGCGGAGCTGCTGCCGTAGATGTAGGTGTGAACCGACTCCAGGGTCTCGTACACGGCGGGGTCGTTCATCACGATGCCTGCGGAGACGGGATCAGAGCTCAGGGAAGGACTGGCGGAAGAGGCCAGGTGGCCCGTTCAGCCAAGCGAGTCTTTCCAGAGAATCACCTTCGGAAACATGGAGGGTTTCCTGAATTTCACTTTTAAATGGTGCTTTTTGTGGTGATTTTTTGATACAATCATCATCAGCACCATCCTTACACCTTTACAGTGCTTTTCTGGACACCCCACTCATGCGCTTTATAGATAATGGGGGCTCCCCTCCACCACCTGGATGATGCGACGGCAGCCAGAGTGCGCCAGAACACTTCCCACACACAGCTCTCAGTGGGGAGGAGAACGAAGTGATGGAGCCAGTTCAAAGATGGGGATTATTAGGAGGCTGTGATTGGTAAAGGTAGGGGAAAATCTGGCCAGCATGCCAGGGTAACACCCCTACTCTTTTTGAGAAACGCCCTGGGATTTTTAATTGCCACAGAGAGTTGGGACCTCGGAATTATGTCTCATCTGAAGGACAGCGCCCTTTTACAGTATTGTGTCCACATTACTATACTGGGGCATTAGGACCCTCACAGACCGCAGAGTGAGCGCCCCCTACTAACCCACAATTATCTCTTCCAGCAGCAGCCTTAGCTTTCCCAGGAGGTCTCCCATCCAGGTACTGACCAGGCTCACACTGCTGAGCTTCAGTGGGCTGCCAGTTCCGATATTCACTTCTTTCGCGAGAGCACACTTGTCTATCGCTCAGGGACTTCACACAGACGTGATCCTGAGCCACAGCTGTTGAGATCTGTTGCGAGCGAGCCCCAGCTGCTTGGGGCCAGCAGGCTGTCGATCCTGGCAACTCGGACAAACAGCGATCCCGCCACCTCCCGAAACGCAAAGGTCAACGAGGACTCACCATGAACCAGCCTCTGCTCCTGAAGCATCAGTGACCGGTACTCATCCCACTTCTCATGTAGCGTTTGCTGTAAAGAGGGAAAAACAGACAGATTAGAGAAAGTGCCTATTGCTGCAGAGTCACGGCACAGAGCCGTTTCCAGGGAAGGAGAAGGCACTGCCTGGGAAACGCAGACTTGTACACCAGCTGTACTCAGAGCACCAAGTCACAGTACTCTGGACCACAGCTATGTGCCACTCAGTGCAGGAACTGTTCAACGGCTCAGCTTGGACTTAAGCACTGGCACCTGGGCATTCCTTCTCCATCCTGGCTGTCTCCTAACACAAGGGCTCAGATCCCTTCCTGCTGCCCCGTAAGGAGACAGTCGGGACGAGCTAGAACAGCACCGTGGGCACAGGGCCATGACCATGAGCCCGAGATCTCAAGAACCGAGACCTCTGTGTAAAGAGGCATGAGAGAACAGGGCTAGCCTTCCCCCATCGCGATTTCACAGGGCTCTTCGGAGTCAGACAGTGAAGCATATGCAGGGCCTTCCTTCCTGAGTTTTGGAGCAGACTTTCCTGTAATAGAAAGCCATGCCTGTGCCTGTGCTAAAAACAGATCGCTTTCACAACAACTTGGAGGCTTGTTGGGGAAAACCACAAAACAAACAGAGCGGGAGGCATTTTCTGGGAGGGGCATTAAATGGATACTGTCTCTATTTCTCATTTTTAAAAATTTAACAGATCCTAACTAAGCAGACTAAAACTGTTAGGTTGTTTATAGAATGTGATCTTCATTTCACCTTACGATAGCACTATAAACATTCGTTAAAATATGTCATTTTCTAATTTGTTAAATTTAGCAGACACTGATTGGTAAACTAAATTTCATCAACTTATTTTTGATTTCATGCCTCTTTCAGTTCTTTGCACAAAGGGTTGTGGAGCGTGGAACAAGCTGCCCAGAAATGACATTGAAGCTGAAACCCTAGTTTCTTTTAAGACACAGCTGGACAAGATCCTCAGATCGCTACTAACAGCCAGACAACCTAGCTGGGACAAATGGCTTTCCGCTTAAAAATGATAGTTTATTAAACATGCGGTGATTAGCTCAAAATACTTTTTAAAGGTTGTTCAAAAGTGTCTATGTGTTGAAACAGAGAGAGAGATTCAGACATCTATCCAGTAACTCTTAGGCTGACTCCAAATTCATAATGTCAGAGTGATTTTGGCATAGTTTTAAACATTGTCCATTGAAAAGATATGGGGGGAGGCAAGGTAAAGCCGAATTTGCCCCTATGACTGGACGTGCCCGATTTCTGCCCAGTTTTGCAAAGCAACGGTCAATCCTACAGTAAGGATACACCTCGTCTCTGCAGGATCAGCTTGCCTGGCCTCTAAGGAGCAGTCAATGTCTCCGACAGCGCAGACAATAAGGATTCCTTCTCAGCATTTCCCTATTTATAAGAGTACAGGCGAATCAGACAGCGAGGACGGGCCATTGAGCTCTGAGTCCTACACACTGCAGGACTCTCTCACAACACCGGGCAGCGTTTTGACACATCAACCCACATCACTACGCCTCCACAGCTTGGCCAGGCAGTTTACTCCATTCGCGCATGAGGGCCTCTCTGTGTAGAAACAAAAAAAGTCTTACGACTTCCCCCAAAACACCGACCGGACTGGGAATTTCCATCACGTGCACAGGTGCTGGGCTCTGTGCCAGCGTCAGTGTGGGCAAACACCTACCAGTGACCTGACAGATACAATCTCTCTTTGTCCTCGTACAGACTCACAAGCGGCTCTTGTCCTCAAGCAGAGAGATTGGAAAATGCATACAGTGGAAAAGGCAGGAAATATCAAAAATGACCCTAGGAAGGAGGAAGACTGACATTCTTACAGGGGCAGCAGTGTGAAGCAGCCTGCCCAGCCGTGCCCTTGAAGCCGATCCCCTGACTGGACAAGCTGGAAGATCCTGGGATCAATTAGCCGCTAACGACCGATCGGGCCAGACAGGCCAAAACGCCCCTCCCCCCTCGTTTCTGACTTCCCGTTTGAACTTCATTTACACCTCCAGAGCTTCGGCCCCCTGAACATGCACACGCAGGGCAGCGGTTTCAGAAAGGAGAACTAAGAAGCTCAGAGGGAAGGAGCGCTCACCTTCAGGTACTGCAGTCTGGTCTCCAGTTCTGCCTTTCGGATGGAGTCGCCGTACACAGTCTCCAACCTGCGGACAGACAGCCAGGCAGCTCGTTAACCCCCGCAGCCCGAACAGCTCCCCAACTGCACTGCCCACCACAGCTCAGCCACCGAAAACTTCAGCTGACCCAAGGCCATTTCAGAACACAGAAGAATCTTACAGCTGTGTTATAAAGACCTTTTATGCCCGATGTGAACACATGGCACGTCGAGCTTGACTTGGGGGCCTAAGCAGACTGCTGCTCCCTATCACATTACAAGTCACGCAGCTTTCCTAGCGACTGGTCGACACGCAGCCTGAGCAGTTCCCACGGACGAGGGAGGGTCAGCGTCAGCCACGGGGGGCCAGGCTCACACAGCGAGTCTTGAAGAGGCAGATAAAGCCCTCTGCTGCCCCTGGGCTCTGTGGCTGTTACGGCATCTGATAAGCTGCCTTCAAAGCGTGCAGCGCGGCCAGTTGCGACAGCGCCTTCTTCTCGTTTCACAAGCTGAGAGCGTGCGCAAGGTTATCCTGAAGCCTCCGCGGGCTGGCCTCTACTCTGCCCGCGGGTCCTGAGCCATGTGCGAAACAGTTCACACTTTGCAGAAGTGCCACCACAGTTCACACGGGAAAAAAAAAAGAGTTTAATCTTTCCTTCAGCGGTTTCGACTGAAAAGAGAAAATGAATGTGCGTATTGAGGTGCAGGAAGGGGCCGGGAGAGATGTGAAATTAATTTTCTGCAGAGAGCTGCGACAAGGCTCTTGAGAGTTGAAGGCAAGAGAGCGCTTCAGAAACTGAATTTTATTTTCCCCCGCTTAGGAAAAAAGCAGCATAGAAATTTGACATATTTATTAGGAGACAATGCAGGAAAACAAACACAGGACACCGACTGCAAAAGCTTTCCAAGCAGAAGTTCTACTGTGGAAAAACTGCAGTTATACTTGTGAAACTTTAAACTTCACCAACCTCTGTAGGCAAATTTACTCCAAAACGACCTAACAAATCACAAAATAACCCAGATCAAAGCCTGCAGCTGGGCAGGCCTGAAATTAACCAGGTTGCTGTGCGGAGTGTTCTAATTTTTTTTCTTCTGCTTTTAAAGCCATGGTTATTGAAGAAACACATTCAAAGTGCCTGTCAAAAAGAAATACAGCTGCAGGCACAGACACAGGTATCCTGAATCTGAGAAAAGGCCATTCACAAATTCCTAAGTGCAATAAAAATGAAAATTCACGAGCTAGTTTTAGGGTGTTTGCCTGAGCCATATTAGGTTGCGATACCAGGTTTAACAAGCTTAAGACTCGTTAATTCCAACTCACACATGGGGCTCTGTCTTGAAGATTATTAGGCACTGCTGGAGAACTGGACCCTGCTGCACAGAAACTGGCAGCTTAACCCCAGCACAGCTGAGTGGTTCTTAACACAGAGCACCACTGTGTTCCTCGCTAGTTCCTTGTTCTGCTTCTCCGTACAGCCTCTCACCTGATAGTGTTCCCCGATGACCTGATAAGCTGAACAATCTCCTTGTGTCGAAAGCCCTCCACGCTCACATCGTTCACAGATGAAATGGTGTCTCCTGCGCACAAACAGGGAGATTAAAAATAAAACGCTGAACTTCACATGAATTAATGCTCTTTTAGACTTAAACCTATTGCTCCTCCCGCTATGCCATGTGCAGTTGAGGAGGTGTGTCCTGTTCACAATCTGTCAATCTATAGAGGCCTTCCCATCCAGGAATATCAGTTTCTCAATCAAAATGAAGTTCTGGACCAGATCTCGTAGAGGTGCAGGGCTGCTTTTTCCTGTTCTAGTTTGTTACAATGTGAAATACATCAGCCTGAGACTATCCAATCGCAACTTGTGCTCATGTGGTAACAGCAACAGGGTATACATCAGGCCCTGCAGTGACCCACCGGACCAAACTGCCAGTCACCCTGCTATCCATACGGACAACATGGCTCTGTGCGTTGTTTAAGGCCACAGTAAAGGCTGAGGAAAGAGCGCTTTGGGTTTAACTAAAGACAGACAAGAGGTGGTGTTTCCTGTGATCTCACATCGAAAGTGAACAATGAGATCGGACTGCACGGGTCTGTTATGAGGTCAGTCATCATGCGAAATGATCTGAAACCTCACATCAGCACAATACCAGTCGGCATTAGAGAGGCGAATCTCCCAGGAATCTCTGACTGAGCTCCATTGGGATTTTGTAGAAAGACACCAGCTGTTTGGTGATGCCCTTTCCAAGAAAAATGACTTTCTTTCGGTTATTGCAAACTTATTTACTCAGCCAAAGTTGTAATCCCTTTTAATCAGCAACGTGAAAAGAAAAATAAACTTAAAAAGTGTAACAAGTGTGTGATTTCCCAGGTTTCTTTGCGAATGTAATGAGTTTTCTTTTGCTGTGAAACCTAAAACACGAAAGATCCAAAAAGCTTTAAAAATGTCAAACACCTAGCTGAATCTTTGGCGTTTTTCATAAGGCTGCCTGCTTTTTAATGTAAAACAAGACAGCAGAGCATGCCTGTGATGCAGGAAGTTGAAGTCTTGCTGCTCAGTTATTGGCAATGTCACTTCATGGGCGACCAGACCTTCTCCGGCTTCACCCCAAAGCTCTGCATGTCTACCCCAAGATTATCGCCATCCCAGATCTCTTTCAAAACCAGACTCAAAATCTTCTTCTACAGAAAGGCTTTTACTGGATTGGTATCTGTGTCTGCTCCTTGCATCTGCTACTACATTTCTAATCCCTTGTGTTTCTTTGTGGTAATTAAGTAATCTCCTTTTTTTGTTTAACTGTTTTTCTTTAATTGTTTTTTCTTAATTTGCCTGTAAAGCTCTTTGAGATATGTTCAAATGTGCTATTCAATGTTATTATTGTTAAAATAATATTGAACTGTCTGACGTGACAGGTCACGAGGGCAGTAAGAGTCTACTTTTGGTCTGGGAGCCTAATCGCCTCTTCATTCCTGTCAAACAGGTCTGGTCACAAAACAGAAACTGCACCTCCCTGCCAGAACAAACAACAAAAGCTTTGGTGTATTTTGATGGTTTTTGTTTTCCTTGTTAGACAACATCACCTGCCAAGGGGCTCCAGTGTCTCTGAGATCAGTCACTCACAAAGCCACAGACACGCGAACAGCTATGTTTCGTCCCAGTTCGCAACAGAAACAAGTTGCTGCGTTTGAGCGAACAAATTTATGGTGAGAAACCACTGTTCGTATCTATGCTAAATCAGCCTCTAACAGAACAGTACTGACAAAAAAGCAAACACTATTACTGAGCAACTTCTAAGTTTAAAGATGGCCCACATTAAGGTCCTCTTACTTTTCGTGCCATGGAGTTCCTTCTCTGCCCCCATTTTAAAAGAATTCTGTGTGTTGTATGTCGTAATAAAATTCGACAATCCCATGTGGTATTCTGGGAGTTTAACACACAACCGCATGCTGGCAGGCCCTGCCAGTTCAGTGCTGTCTGACACAAGTGTTCCATATAATTTTAAAGATAATCCTTTTCCTCTTTTTTATCTTAATGCTGTGCGAAAGAAATCACCAGTCAGCATTTTCCGAGTCTCTCATTCCAGATTTCTTCTTCCTGCATCACAGGTAGTTTCTGTCACACCTGATAAGGCTGGTCTGGTTTGTGTGACAGTAGTGGTCAGCGGGTTGGTGCAAAACTTAATTTGACATCTAGCAACAGTTATGACTCAGTCCCAGAATGTACACACACATGCTTGCTTGTGTAACAAAGCACAAGCACCAATGTGTAGCGTACGCTTGTGCTTTGTTACACAAGCAAGCAAATCATTGGTCACTGTAAGGACTAGCGACTGTCCTTCAACTGCTGCTGGACTAAACCAGACAGTGTTGGCATCTGTACTTATTTGTTATATTAAACCTGACAGTGGTGCACAACTAATATAAGCTTAACCATAGTTTCAGGGCTGAGACAGGCAAGAGCAGAGGGGTCTGTAGGTCAGTTCTGCTGGAGACGGGAAATGGGGATGGTGTTTTTCAAAACTGGAGTTCAAGACTGGATTCCAATGAAAAGTATTCCCCCGGGACTGGTCAGTTTTAATCTAGCCCCTAATAAATGAACGGGCCTCATTGGCTTTATCCCAGCAAATGGAGGAATGGAGGATTCAGAGATCCCAGAACCTGCTGTCCTGGATTGTGGCTCTGTAGGGGACAGGACTGACCGCCGGCTTCCGGTATATTTTGTATGCAAAGAGTACCACTCACCAACTTTGAGGCCGGCATGATACGCAGGACTGTCCACGTACACCTTGCACACAAAGGTGCACATCTCCACCGAGTTGAGATTCTGGTGATGGAGTCCATACGTCTGCAACACAAACGGACAGAAGTCAGAAACCAAAAGGACAGAGCTTCAGAGAGCAGGACACAGGAATGAGCATCCACGTTGAAAGCAAAGCTGTAAAAAGCCATACAACATCATTTCTACTTAACGCCCAAAGTATATTCTGCTGAAGCTTAACACCTGATCCAGTAGACTGGAGAACAGGCTCATCAGGAGCTCTCAGAAGGGAACTGCAGGCCCCCAGTGAAGATAAGCCTTTTCCACCCACTCCTACACAGATCCTAACAGCTGTCAGGTCCGGTCGGTTTGCTGCTTTGCATGTGCAACACATATTTGCTTTATCACAGGGAAGTTTATGGCATTTTGAATAACCCACTGGAGTAAAAATGAACTTTGAACCTTAGGATGGAGTTAAAAAACCCCTTCCATTGTGAGTTAATACCTGTAGAATCCAAACCAAGCTGTCATTTTTGAAAGAATGATTATGTACAAAAAAAACTCTACTCATCCCGCATAATTCCAAAGCAGGATTTCAATCCCAAACTGTTTATACAGATCCTCTCAAGAGAGTTAGGATAGTAGGTCACTTGGAATACATTTGGGGTTTTGAGATTATATTGTAAAAAATGTTGTGCACTCATGGAGCTAAACATTTTATTTTAAATCTAAGCGCTAACTGCATTTTGTGGAGACTTCAAAAAGCTGTGCAACATCGTTTGAACTGATTGCTGGAGCCCACCCACTTAAAACTGTACTTCCACTGAAGTCCTGACCACAGAAGACTACAAGGAGGCCTGATGCAAGTATTTGTGCTCCTCAAAGAAATGACACAGCAGATGTCTTCAAAATAAAAAGTCAAACACGAACTCTAGGACACAGGTGGAAACTACAGAGAAGCTGCATTTAAAACAAAAGACACTTTTTTTACTCAAAGGGTTGTGAGAGTACAGAATGGGCTTCCAAGCCATGTTGTTGCCTTGTCTCACAAAAAGGCTGCATGACTTCCTTGGATCAATTCACTCCCGACTACCAAACCTATTAGCTGGGCAAAACAGCCTCGTCTCATCTGGAACATCTCATATTTTCTCACGTCTTTAGAAGCAGAACAGCGCACTGCACGAAGCCTGGGTGTGTCGTTTTAAAAGCTCTGCGTGCTGAATCCGCCGATTTGATTTGCAAATAATCGGCACCGAAACTCCAACAGAGAACAAGGCCTCCTGGAGCACACAAAAGAGAGGGCCTGAAGGAAGAGGACACCGAGATAACAATACGAGCCAGGTGTACAGTATATATACAGTGCGGTAGACGTATCCAGGCGTTTCGAGAGTGGGAGATGTGCCGTTTGTTGCTGGCCGTCTAAACTGGCCTTTTGACTTCAGCCACAGCTGCAGACACACGGGCGCAATTCTGCCTGTTGTGCTGAGATATTAAGAAACTGTGGTCATTTGTAGGATGCCTATGAAATGCCTGTGCTAATGCTATTTCCTCCAACCTTTCCAAACAGTGATTTTGACATCCTACAAACCCCACTTTGGGAGATCTGCGAGAAGCTTTGACTATTTTAGAGGTACCTGTATAGACTGTTACCACAACAGATAAGTGGGCAAAGGAGAAATGCCAAGCAAGCCATGACAACATGACAGTTCAAGCCAGCTGGAGACATGAAGCATGCCTGGGTTCTGTGGCTGGATATGCACTAATTCATTATACAGCACTCACACAAACCATGAGCAGTGCTGATCCTGGAACTCAGTGCAAGGACTCCCTTGCTAAATTAACATCTGTTTGCTATCTCTCTTCTGGGGTTCCTGGACAATCCTAGCAAGAGGCAGTCATTTGTTCTCGTGGATTAACTCACTTAAGACACAGGGTGACAATGCAGATTGAAACGGTGCTGGACAATGACAGAGAATAGATTCTGTCATGGAAAGACCGTGGGAGAGACAGATGTTCCTGCCAATAAGAGGTGTTCAAACCGACACGCACAAAGAGAATGCAAAATCTCTGAAGTGCCGATCCTTTCCTCAGATAAAGCGCCTCTGACTCTCCCTGCTTTGTTGAATCGTGGTGAAGCCCCTATCCTGCAGCCCCTCTGCCAGCGGGGCCTGCACAGCCATGATCTTCTTGACATCAGCAACGGTGGAAACTCCCTGAAATCAGCCAGTGACGCAGGGATAGATGAGACTCCCGCTGGCACGCAGGGAAATACCCTGGCGCCTCAGCCACGTGGCCAGGAGGTGGCCAGGGGTGCACCCACGGACCCGCGCCAGCAGGACGGACCGGAGAAGAGCCTATTGGGCAATTAACCCGCTCCCCTGCCCGGCTCTGTGCATCAATACGTTCCTTACAGTGTGTCAGACTATCAGCTGGCACTGAAAGGGAAGCATGAATTAAGGATGAAGGCAGGGGCGGGGAGCTTCTTTATTATGGCGATTGGTGATTTATTATTATTTCTTCCCTGTTCTACACGGGATCTGACAATCCCAAAGCATTACGATCTGGAAATATTAGGGAATCCCTTTATACCTGCACCACCTTAGTAGTCTCTGTTGGCAGTATGCCTACATGCCCCAGTTCACAGTGGGCTCATGGCTGGTACAGTAGGTGACACGATGCCTACAGTCAGCATCTCCCATCATGTGCACATTTAGTTCAGTTCACACTTACAGGGACTGTGCGGTGAAATGGCCCTTCAAATAGAGCGTTGCTAGGGTCTCAAAACACCGCTCAAAACAAGGGGAAAGACGGGATCCGATGAGTAAATCGAGAATACTGAAATCACTTCCTGTGGTCGACTGAGTCAGGAAAGCCTGTCGCCGTCGTGCAAAAACAGCCCATTTCTATATGCGGCAAGAGTGACCGCTCCGGGCATGGGGCTGCTTTGAAATTTTACTTTTTTTTTTTTTACTTTTCATTTGAGCAGATTATCTAAAAACACAGGAAACCTTGCAAGTTGAAGCCATCAGGCAAAACAAGAGGATGTGGTACTGATTTCAGAACATAGATAAATGGCACGGCCTGGACGGGCTTGCGATAAAATCGGGCTTACGTGCTCCCAGACACATCCGAGCTGCTTTTACCGAGAAGGGGAGAGCCATCAAGAGCTCGCTGGACACCAGGATGCACGAGCGATGCCTTAGAGAGGCTGTTCAGCCCCGGACTCCGGGATGTTAATAATAATAGTAATAACAATAATAATAGCTTACACGTATATAGCGCCTTTTCTGGACACTCCACTCAAAGCGCTTTACAGGTAATGGGGATCCCCTCCACCACCACCAGTGTGCAGCCCTACCTGGATGATGCGAGGGCACACACCAGCTCTCAGTGGGGAGGAGAGCAGAGTAATGAAGCCAATTCATAGATGGGGAGTATTAGGAGGTCATGATTGATAAGGGCCAATGGGAAATTTGGCCAGGACGCCGGGGTTACACCCCTACTCTTTTCGAGAAACGGATTTTTAATGACCACAGAGAGTCAGGACCTCGGTTTTACGTCTCATCCGAAGGACGGGTTGTGTGAGTCTTTAGAGCAGAACAAGAACCGGGAAGGAAGGTGTTCTTCAGGAAGTGTATACACCTTCATCACCATTGTCAGAGATCGAGGCGCCCCTGCAAGGAGATCACAGCTGCTGCAGCAGGCACAGTGAAAGATGACAGGAGGCAGGTTTGCCGGCTCTTACAGTGGCCACTGTACGTCACTGGAAACCTAAAACGTCAGCGTTCTCATTGCCCTGCTTCAGATTTCCTGTGTTTTTTTTATACGTTATAGCTCATTAGGATTCCTCTTCGCAGTCAAACCAAGGAAGAGCTGGGACTCTGGGACTCTGGGACTCTGGGTACATTAAAAATCATGAGGTGGGAGGGTGGGGTATCATCATGGTTCCACAGAGATCAATTTGCATGAGATCGGACATGGTTACCCCAAGTTTGTCAGTCCATGTCTAAAGAGTCCCCTGTACCCCAAAGTCTCAATGGAAATGCACTTGTGGTCCAGATGTGTAAAAGCAGGGTTTAAGCTCACAGGCTTCTGCACATTGTAGTCGGATATAAAGCGGACGATGTGCTGGATCGGTTATACAATACTAATCCTCAGAATCCTACTTCCCCCAGCGCAAACTGAACAGCCCTTCCCAGCATGCTAATCCTCTTACCTGGATTTCAAAGCCAAAGGTCTCCTGGTCCTCCTTCTCTAGGATAACAATCTTCCTGGGAATGAAAAGGAAACAGCCGTTAAAAAGTGATCCATGAAGCAAAATCAAGGACACCACCCTGCAGGAGGATTCCCTTTTGGGGGATATCATCCCAACCAAATACTGGCACTATGTGGCCACCACAGATGTTTTGTGCAGTTTTTGAGGGATCGGTTTTGTTTCTGTTGAAGACACAAGATGACGTGCATCAACACAGGGGGCAACTATTTTAAGAACAAAGACTAAGTTAGACCGTTTTGAAAAGTATGTCTAAATATAAATCAGTTTAAAAATGCCCCCTCGCCCCCACACTCGGTAACCAGTTCCTGGGACAAACACATCTGCTTTTGAACCGACAGGCCGAAGCAACAATGGGCAGCTCGGAGCCCGTCGCCAGGGGCAACACAGCTGCTGCCCTGTTGACAAACAAGCACTCTGATCTCTCGCACACGAACACAACTCGGAAACCTCCAGAAGGCGGCAGAGGTGGCTGCAGGGAGAATTCCAGGATCGGGTTGAGAAAACTCAGAACTACACCATGAGCTAATAACGAAGACGATGACGACGTTTTAGAAAGCTAACTTTAGTCATTCCACGTGCGTATTATCTCTTTGCTTGGAAGCTACTGTTACCCAGGGCGACTTAATCTGGTGAATGTTTACATTACGTGCGAGGGCAAAGAACGGTCATACAATAAAGAAATGGTGCCTGGAGCGCCAGTCCCTGTCTTCCAAGGCCAAAGTGCTGTAAGACCTACCTACGACTGATTAGGACCTTAAAAATAACATGACTTCTTATCCAAGTAAGAAGCTCCATCAAGTAATTAAGATCAGAGGCAGAAGAAAGACCAGCAGACACTGTGGTTCTGAGTGGAGCTCTTTCTCTGAGTCCTATAGTCCTCTCTCACCTCTCACCGCAATTTGCTTTGTTTTCATGGAGCCCTGGTGTGCTCGTGCCACATGTCCCTGACGTGCTTGCACTTTGTTATGTCAATGCCAGGACCTGTTGCTGGAAACACTCACACAAACAGCACGGGACAGATCTCATGAGGGAATCCTAGCTCTGCTCCATCGCTGGCATGCGCAAAGGGCTGGTCGAATGTGGGGGAACCCAAGGAGCTGGGTGTGTAAGAGTTACTGCTGGCTGGCCGCCAGAGCTCGAGACCAGCAATGCCCAGCTGAGGCAAGCAGCAAGCAGGTAAGGCCCACTCGAGGGCCCAAGGGGAGACTGCGTGAAAGCACATTTCACCAGGAGGCACTTTACACAAAAGGTGGTGGAGGTATGGAACAAGCTACACAAGCATGTTGTTACAGTAGCCTGCTTTCGTCTAAAACACAGCTGGTCATTACCAAATGGGCTAGATGGGCTGAATGGTCTCTTCCCATGAGAAACCGGTCTCGTGTTCACAGGAGCATGGATCGAGGCTCCACTGAAGACTAAGAGAGACAGAGAAGGCAACACTGGTTCAAAGGAAAAAACAGATGCTGTTCCTCTTACCTCTGTTGCTCGGGAGACTGAGTTAGGGATTTCCACTTCAGCGGCACGCCCTGTACAGACACACACAAAAGAAAAAAGACTTGAGGAGCAGGGCAGTGACAAGGAAGCGTGTGCCAGACAGCAGCCTTGGGGCCACTCCAGCTGAAACCACACGGGTCAGAACCCATTACAGACAGAGATCTGCACAACACACCTTCCAGCCACGCCACCTGCCTCTGCACAGCCCCAAGACGGCAGAGCCAGAGCAACTTTTAATACCCCAGAGCATCCCCCAAAAAGAGAACTCCCCCCCACCCCCAAAAAAACAAATCAGCCTATTTCAGCGTCTGTTCAAGTCCCCTGTTTCGGGGTGGGTCCAATTTCAAATCCCGATGACTTTGCGACCTGTCCCGCGTTTTGGAAGATCTCGGACACCCTCCCAGGACTTTGCAGGGAGCCTCAACGCCCGAAAGGCCTGACAACGCTGACATTGTGCGGACCCCTGCAGGAGACCACCGATCCCAGTCTGCGCATAAAAATCCCCCAAATCATAAAAAATGAGGTGCCTCCCCCCACCCGCCCTCCCTGCTGTACAAACACAGTTCCCTTCCGCGGGCTCTTAACAGCCAGTCCGCTTCTGTTCGATCTCTGCCATGCATTGAAAAAAAAAAAACAGGACTGCTCCTCGGAGTGCCGGTATGCTGTTAAACGGGCCTGAAGAAATACTGGCTTCCTGTACGAGCCACCACGCCGGACACCAACAGAAATTTTCCGGGGGCTTTTGAATGACTCTGTTCATAGCCCCCCGACTCCTGGGGGTCCCAGGGGAGTCTCGTGCGGGGGCGGAGCCCATCACACAATGTGTTTTTGTACCAGGACCCACTCCGCCGGTGCGTGTGCGTGGGGGAGGTGGGAGAGAGGGAAGGGGAGGGTGGGGGCAGTTTATTCACTTAGCAAAAAGCTGCACCTGGTGGCTCTCTGTGCCCAAAGCGACCCCTGATTCCGACTGGACTTGGGACAACGAGGAAGAAGGAATGATTGATCCTGGCCTGCCACAGCCACACACTCTTCCAGGACACCATTTTTAAATAATCAATAAACTTTACTATTTATATGGCTCCTTTAAAAATGGCCTCTCATAGTGCTTTAGAGAAAAAAAAAAATAAAAACATTCTTTTTAAGAATGCCAAACCGCAGACATTCACACATATCATGCAGTCTCCTCTCACATGTTGGACTGATTATTCCGGATCCGAGTCCTCATGCACAACACTTCACACTTTGCTTGGTTTTCTGATGCAGTTTTTTGTTACAGTGCCATTAACCACCCTCCCCCTTTCAACAGAGAGCCATTGAGATAGGTTCGGGGGGGGGGAATTAGAGTCGCACACTACTCTGAAGCTGAACGGTCAAGCGTTCGGCCCTGCAGCCTGCGTCACATTGATCTGCTTCCCCGCCACCTCAAACCAAGTCTCTTTGGATTGACCTCATGAGGCCTCGAACTGGACTGTAGGAGAACACCCTGCGGAGCTCTAGCCTGGGTAACTCCATGCTGGCAGATCAGACACAGTCAAAACATCCAAGAAGAGATCCGACTTTTTCAATCCAGCATCCCGAGACAGCCCCAAGTCTGTGGTAACACAACGATTTCAAGAAACACAAGGAAGAAGTTTCTGCCTAGCGCTAAATGCTATGCACTAATTAATCTCATGGGGAGGGATATCTGCCCTCTTTTCTTGATCTCAACAATAACTGGTTGACAGTTACCCTTTCCACGTTTTTCAGTGGTATCTGGCTGTATTTCACATGAAGTGCGTTTCTTTAAGGTTATCTTGGTCTGTATATTATCGGGGGGAGGGGGTAGAAGAATCTTCCAAACTTGTCTCGTGTGTGTGAAAAGGTCACCTATCTGGAAAGAAATGGGTCCGGAGTTCGGCGTGCGAAACCAAACTCCACAGGACTTCACTGTCAGAAAGCACCGGCTGCTCACGAAGAGCCCTCGGTGACGCACATAGTCCTTTCGTTGTGTCGCCGAGCGCTTCACAATATATAGAACTGTTTGAGAAATCAAACAAGCCCACGACCAGAGTGCTGAAACTTTGCGGTAAACAAGGGGGGGGTCTGCGCTCTGTGGCAGGACGGAGTGGGTGGTCTTGATAGCAGGGCGGATGGAGGAGGGAGGAGGGAGGAGGGGGGGTCGGGCGCCACAAGTTTTAGGGGCTTTTTGTGTTAAAAGAAAAGAGTCCCGAACATCTTTCGGATAAGCTACAGCGCCTCGGCTTTCCTCAGCTGTAAGGCCGTCCTTAAAGCCCCGCCCCTCGCTGTTAATTGAGCACTCTAATTAAAACCGACACGTGCGTTTATTTGTGCAGTCAAAGCGGATAGAAAACTCGATTGCTTTATCTTGAGAACGGAGGCTGTTTATTTATTTTTTTAAAAAAACAACCAGAATGTTTTGCTTTATTATCTGAAATTATTTTTCCAGGTGCGATTTGTATAACTAGGCATTTTCCTGCTGTCGTAATGTTTTCATCCTCGTTGCTGCTAAGTAATCGTCTTTTCTGTGACTGGTCCACCAAAAACAGCCCCAGTGTATTCATTACTCTGAACGACTTCAAGTTCACTTCGCTGCGCCAGTAATCGCGCTGCCGGCTACCCTTAGCAATGCAAATTACCCCAACTGCTGGATCAGCTGGTGTCCGAGGGCTAACAGACGCCAGACACTCCTTTACAAATGCAGTCTTGTTCGGACTCCCGCTGAGCATCGCTTAGCAAGGTGATAACACGCACACGTAGTTCCCCACATCTTGTAAACGCGGGTGGGAAATCGCCCACATTCTCCAAGAGGTGCTAGATTCCGCAGGCATCGCCACGCACAGACGCGCATCAACGCCTTTCCACCACAATTAGCTGACGTCTTGATCCAAAAAGGCTCACAACAGTCACTCCGTAGTTCCCTTTGTTAGGAAGCCCTACCACGCGGTTTTGTCGCATGATTTCCTACAATGACATCAGTAACTGGTCTTGTCCCGTTCGGGATGAAACATTTCTACATTCAAAACACAAGGCTCGCAAAGCGAAGCCGTGCGTCAGAGTTCATGAACTGGAGCGCAGCATGCAAATATCTGTGCGCTGAAGTAGACTTTCCAAACAGTGCCCAGGTGTCTGAGTCAGAACGCGGCGGATCTGCCCTTTCTCTTTCCTTACATCTCACAACCACAGAGCTTCAAATGATCTCGCACCTCTTCACGGGCCGGCTGCCTCCCTGGGTAATTATCTCCAGGCACTCTCGTTACCATATGTACTCAGTGTGTGTGTGTGATGGGGGGTGAGCTGCCGACAACGGAGACTTGTGAAGCCCACGAAGTCAGATTCGGGTTCAGTTTTATAGAACACAGCAACGCTCTCCGGTACCTCAACCCAAGAATGACAGAAGTCCCTTTCCAAAAGAAACCGTAGGCGAAACTCGTCTTGAACAGAACAAGAGGTAGATTATGTCGCTGATGATGCACTTATTATCTGAACGAAT